CAGTGGAAAATCAACAATGCTGAATGCCATGTTTGGGTTACAGTTTGCAGTGAGTGCTGGCAGATGCACCAAGGGTGCCTTCATGCAGCTGATCAAAGTGTCAGAAGAGATGAAGAGAGACTTTAAGTTTGACTATGTGCTGGTGGTGAACACCGAAGGACTGCGTGCTCTTGAATTAGCAGGTAACGCCGCTCTTAACCACGACAATGAACTGGCAACATTTGTTGTTGGTCTGGGAAACATGACATTGATCAACATCTTTGGAGAGAATCCAGCTGACATGCAAGATGTTCTGCAGATTGTTGTTCAGGCTTTCATGAGGATGAAGAAAGTCAAACTTTCTCCAAGTTGTGTGTTTGTTCACCAGAATGTGACAGATATTTCAGCTGCAGAGAGAAACATTGAGGGAAAGAGACGCCTGCAAGAAAAACTGGACCAGATGACCCAACTAGCTGCCAAAGAGGAGGTTTGTGATGCAGAGTGTTTCAGTGACATCATTGCATTTGATGTGCAAAAAGATGTGAAATACTTTGCCCAACTTTGGGAGGGAAGTCCACCTATGGCTCCTCCAAATCCAGGTTATAGTGAGAGCGTCCAAGAGCTGAAGAACTTCATTCTCTCTAAAGCTTCACAGTCTGCTGGGATTACTCTGTCACAGTTCAAAAGCAAAATTCACGACCTGTGGAATGCCCTGTTGAACGAAAACTTTGTTTTCAGTTTCAAAAACACACTTGAAATTAAAGTGTATAGAAACCTTGAGGTTCAGTATGGGAACTGGACCTGGGTCCTGAGGAGCAACATGTTGGCCATTGAAAACCAGCTTCATACTAAAATTGAAAATGGAAAACTTGACAAGATTGAGCTCAGTTATCTTTCTAAAGAAATGAGCCGAACATATGGAGAAATCCAAAAAGAAATGTCAAAGCACTTTGATGATGACAGAGACAAAGAAATCTTGGTTCAGTGGCGAGGCACATTTGAAAGCAAAATCAAGGAGTTTCATGAAGAACAGGTGAGAGGAGTGAAAAGAAAACTGGATGAAGTTATCCAGCAGAAGAAGGCTTGTAAAAAGCTTGATGATCAGAAGACAGAGTTTGAGAACAAGCTGCTACAGAAGAGCAAAGAGCTCGCTCATCAGTTAAAACACAAGACACAAGATGAAGAGGAACTTAAACAGCAGTTTGACTCTGTTTGGAGCGACTGGGTGAGAGAACTAACTGCAGATACAAAACCTATTGAAGACATCAACTTGGTGGAAGATCAGTCAACTATCCTTCATGAGCTTGGTATTGAATGGGCTCTTATTGATGAATCCAAAAACAGTGGCAGATACAAAAACATATCAGGGGCTGGTGATTACTTTGATTATGTGACACTCACCAAGTATCAGGAGCGTTGTGACGAAAGTCAACAGCCTCAAGAGAGGGAAGGGGACAAAAGAGAAAAGGGGAAACTTAGACAAATTGGTGACTTTTTTTCAGAAACAGGTACAAAAGTATTAAGATACATTAAGGGGATTTTTCAGCATGAAGACGAACAACTGATCAGATCCCTGATTGATGATGTTGAAAAACAGTCACTTGATACAATCAAGAACAAACCTGTAGCTACAACACGCTACAGTCCAACTTATTTGCAAGAAGTTGCCAAAAATGTCAAAGAGAAAGTGACAGAATTTGAATCAGAGAGGAAATTTGCTCTGAAGAGAGAGTTTACAGTTGATCTCTTACTGTATGTGTTTGACAGAGCAGGGACTTGGCTTTCAGAGTCCCATGAGAAATTCAAGAAGAAGAATGATGCACTGATTTATTTAGAAAGCAAGAGGGATCAATATTATAACATTTTCAGAAGCTTCTGTAAAGGAAACTCTTCTGCTGTTGTACTCGGAGAACTGATCTGTGAAAAACTGAAGGTTTCCACTGTTGAGGCTGTCTGTAACAAGACAGTCATTGATCTAGCTGGAGAGATGAAATGCAGTTTCCCAGCATTCAATGGGAACAGAGTGAACCTGGAGAAACATGTGTTGAAGTCACTGGCAGAGAAAGAGGACTTCAGTGGTTTCATTACCTACATCCATCAACCAAGGAAACATGTGGAGAGGTTTATAAAAGAGGAAGTAGAGAAATACATCTTCACATCACACAAAGATAAAGCTCGGGATATACTCAAGAAAAATGTTGAAGACATGAAACAACATGTGAGTCAGGCTTTATTTACTGCAACAGAGAAAGTTAAAACCCAGAGAGGAGACACAGACATGTGGCTGGAGGAATTTACCAGTTCTCTAAAAGATGATCTGACATTTGATTCCATTTGTCCTGAAAACTTCAGAGACATAAACCGTTTTGAGTTTCTGAAAGAAGAGATAGAGAAAGGCCTTGAACCCATCATGAAGGAGATGAACAACCTCTCACTGAATGAGATGAATGAGTTCAGACTGAAGCCTGATCAGATCCTCATTGATCAGCTGTGCAAGTGCTGCTGGGTAAAGTGTCCATTCTGTGCAGCTGTTTGCACCAACACCATGGAAAATCACAGTCCTGATGACCACAGTGTCCCTTTTCATCGATCTGCTGCAATCAATGGTGTACAGTACAGAAACATAGATATACTCTCTGTTGAATTCTGCACAACAGATGTTGCAAGTGATCAAAGTTTTTACCCCAATTCGGATTCAGATGAAAAAATTCCCTATAAACAGTACCGAACTGCTGGACCAAGGTTTGCTAACTGGAGAATTACCCCTGATGAGTCTAATCTGACATACTGGAAATGGTTTGTGTGTCGATTTCAAAAACAACTGGAAGAACACTATAAATTAAAATTCCAGGGCAGAGGAGAAATTCCCAGAGAGTGGAGAAAATACAGAAAAGAAGAGGCGATTAAAAGTCTGGATGAAATGTACAAACTGTGAGTGAACAACACAACTACTCTGCTGAAAATGATGATACTTGTTTTCATGTGACTATTCATGAATCAAACTCCTATAAAATACAGAAGAATAATAGGAATTTGGAGAATGAGTGAGGCATAAAAACTAATGCTAATAATATCTACAAAGTTTTTAAGTGTGAACTTGTTGATATGAAAAATGTTCAAATGAATGTAAAGCAGAACACAATGTTTTTTTCTTTGTTTGTTCTTGAAGAGAGAGAAAGAGAAATTATGAAACTCATGCATGTATCAATATTAATGAATATTTTTAAGTTTTATTAAATGAAAATACATGAAATCTGAACTTCCTAAGTTCAGTGATCATGGAAAGATGAGTGAGAAGGTTGATGAGAGATGTTGTCAGATGATCGACTTCTTACAACAAAGAATGGAGGGTATATTTCTTTAACCTGTGTAATTCATTTCTAAAACTTAAATCTGAAAATCCTGTTTAACAAGTTTTGCCTGTTTGTATTTTTGTAAGTCTTTACATTTTAAGTTGAATCATGTTAACTGATCCAGGATGCTTTATGTTGAAGACGTATTTGAAGTGTTCAGCTGTGTTATGTTAATCTCATTTAAAATAATCTGTCATTATATCTACAGCAGCATGAGTTTTGTTGTTTTGTTGTCAATGTGAGGAAAATATTTCTAAAAGATTTTATCATTTATTAAACTGATCATTCAGTGACGACACAAAAACACCTGTTGACTTTAACCTTTCATGTTATTAATGAGCATAATAAAAATAACTACATCACATCTGTTGAAAGACCATGTTTCTTTTTTGTTTCTTAAATGACAAAAGTTTTAGTTTCCACCTTTGAGATCTGACATCTGTTTGTAGAAGACCCCACCTTTTGTATCTGATCCATGGTTCATAGTAAAATCATCTTCCTAACTGTTTCTATTTGATAAAACTTGAAAATCACCTTATGTCTATTTGACTTTGTCTCAACATGATAAGAAAATCCCACATGGCTCTTAAGCTTTCTGCTACGTTGTCTGCACATAGGTGTCACGCTTCTGTTCTCTGACTGATCATTTTTCTATCCCAGTTTCCCAGCATGTATGTTTTCAGTCACAGATGACATCAAATGCAGGCAGCAGTAAAATCCAGTTACAGATTGTGACTTCTGATGTATCTGAGATGATTTCTAAAACAATTTTTCACAGGGAGTCTCAGTCTGTTCCTCTGTTTGTATGTGATCTGGTGCCTTAAAGGAGAACTGCCACAATTCAGTATTGCACCTCTGTTAAGTTTGGGGACTCAGAAGAGAAAGACTTTAAAAAAGAGATGGTCAAAAGCAGCAGAGGCCAAGATGTTCCGACTTTTTGTCTTTAGTTTGCATCAAGCTCCAAAATCACTGTATCCTACATTTCCCATACTGCAACTCAAGTGTCTCTTGCCTTGTAGATGCCCACTTCTTTCAAACCCCACACCTCAAGCTGGACATGTCGGTTAAATGTAGAGTACTATAAGTTTGGATGAATGGGGTTTAAATAACTTTAGCACAGTTAGAAAGGCTAGAAACTAGCATTGGTTGCCACTATTAATAGACCAGATCTTGCCTGTCATAACGGTTCACCAAAGTGCATTACTATATACATTATTATTATATGACTGTTTTGTTACTTCACTTCTGATAACGTTAAGTTGAGTCTTTATTATCTAAAAGTACTCACCGAAAAGTTTCTTACGGTCTAAATTTACAGAAGCTTGACAAATTTACTCCGTTGCAGTTCCTCATTGTGGCCACTGGATGGCGGTAAAACTCATGTACATATACGTGGAAAACATTACATGGGCTTTGTATTGGTTAAAACAAACAAACGATGCATCAGTAAAAAAAAATCGGTATGAATTTATTCATTGTCTCCTTTGGATAAAGAAAGGTTAATATTTCTGACTGCTGACTGTGTTCACTTGTAGAAAATAAAAATGACATTAGCCATCCTCAACAACTTCCGGTATGTTACCGGAAGTGACCTATTAAAGTAAACAACAAGCTGCCGGTGGATAAGGACATTCAGATAGCTGCGACTAAAGTGAGCTTTTTTTTTTCATTTTAAAAGGATATTTTGCTTTTCATGCAGAGGAAGGGGCATTTGTATGAGAAACTGGTGCGACCTCTAATAAAGATAAATCGGGGTGTTTACGTTTCTGAACCTGCCAGTAAAGTGGAACCTGCAGTAGCCTACAGTAGCTAGCAGCTAAGTAGCAAGCGTCAGCCAGTGATATTCTTGCTATTAGCTTCTATCGAGTTATTTTCTCAAACTTTAGATACATGTATTTCCCTGCAGAGACATAATACAACTGTTTTTGCACAGGTAGAATATTCCTTGTGACAAATAAACTTAACCTCATGTGTAAAACTGGTGTAATGCCCCTTTTATTGGATTGTTGCTCTCTGTATGAAACCATATCTGAAGTTTGTGACACTATTTGTGAGAAAATATATTTCAAAGTCAGGATCTGGTTACATTTTATTACACTGACCCTCAGAGACAACATAACAAAACCACATACTGAATATACCATATACTGAAGAGCTACATCTCTTAATGATTAATATTTCTTACAGTAACTGATCAAGACTCGGTCTCGTCTTGAACCAAACTGATGACCACAGTCTGCATGTGTTAAAGCAGCTGTATCTTTTAGCAGATTTTGAAGGAAGTCGGTTTGAAGTCCCCTGTGACTCTGATGTAGCTGATGACATCCATGCCAACACGGTTAGGGAACTGGACTTCCTGTCCATCAGGAAGCTCCACCTCAAAAACACGTCTCCCGCCATCTTCAGTACAATCTAAAACCAAAATTAATTTTTTAATAGAAACACTCTGACACATATGAAACTAAAGCTTTCCATGTGGCAGGGTAAGTGAACAAATATACGTATTTTTTCTTCAAGCCATAAGCTTTTCAAAAATGTCCTCACCAAAATTTTTTACAGCACTTTTCATGAAGTAAACGCATCTTCTCTTCCTTCAGTTCTACTCCCTCACCTTGATGTCTGCGCCTCTCTGTAAGGGGTTGTGTATTTCCTGTTTCTTGTCACCCCAACAACCAGCAGTCTTTGAGTTGCTAATGGAAGATGTAGGACGATAGTGTTGGTACATTGATTCCATTTGTTCTCAAAACTTCAGAGACATAAATCGTTTCTTCACGCACTTTCTTAAAGAAGAGACAGAAAGGCCTTGAACCCATCATGAAGGAGATGATCAGCCTCTCATTGGATAAGATGATAAAATTCAGACTGAAGCCTGATCAAATTCTCGTCGATCAGCTGTGCAAATGCTGCTGGGTAAAATGTCTATTCTGTGCAACTCTGGGATCAATGGATGGCAATATAGAGACACAGTGGAACTGGATGTTGTCTTCTGCGCAACAAATGTTGCAAGTGATGCACATTTTTCCCCTTATAGTTCAAAAGCGAGATTCCATATAAACTGTACTGAACTGACCGAATCACTGGTCCAGAGTTCAAAAACTGGAGAATTACCCCTGATGAGTCCAAACTGACATAATGGAAATGGTTTGTGTGTCGATTTCAAAAACAACTTGAGCAGCACTATGAATTAAAATTTCAGGGCTATGGTAAAATTCCCAGTGAGTGGCAAAGACTCTCCAAGAAACAAGCTATTAAAAGTCTGGATGAAATGTACAATCTGTGAATGAACCAACACAACTACGCACCTGAAAATCACAATACTTGTTTTCAGGTGACTATTCATGAACCAAACTCCTATAGAAGGACATTCACAGACTTTTATTGATTTTATCATTGACTGGTTGTTTTTTATTTAAGTAATAAAATGTGGATAGTAAATGAATCATTACAAATTACAACATATACCATATGATTGCTTTATTCATATTAATTCTTAAAACACAGAGCACAGAAGAACAATAGTAATCTGGAGAACAAGCAAGGCATAAAAACCCATACATTCATATTAATATTAAATCAGTGTGTCCTCTACAAAGTTGGTTAGTGTGAAATTCTTGATATAAGTTTCCATGAAGGTGAAACAAAAGAAAATATGTTGTTTTTTATTTGTTCTTTTTTGAAGTTTTATTAAATCAAAATACATGACATTTGAAGTTCATTGAACATGATTATGAAAAGGTTGATGAGAGACATGTTGTCAGATGATCGACTTCTTACAACAAAGAATGTTTATTTATTATTTCTTTAACCTGTGTAATTCATTTCTAAAACTTAAATCTGAAAATCCTGTTAAACAAGTTTTGTCTGTTTGTATTTTTAGACCATGTTTCTTCTTTGTTTCTTAAATGACAAAAGTTTTAATTTCCACCTTTGACATCTGACATCTGTTTGTAGAAGACCCTATCACAGTTTCCCAGCATGTATGTTTTCAGTCACAGATGACATCAAATGCAGGCAGCAGTAAAATCCAGTTACAGATTGTGACTTCTGATGTATCTGAGATGATTTCTAAAACCAGGTTTCACAGGGACTCTCAGTCGACTGTTCCTCTGTTTGTATGTGATCTGGTGCCTTGAAGGAGAACTGCCAGGTAACACACATTTTTCATAGAGGGCTTCAATAGTAATGTAGAGGCTCATTGGCTGAGTTCAGCATTTTAACTTGTCATAGCATAAACAATATAATGTATATCCTTTATAAAAGACTCACATTTTAACCAAATCTGATCTATTTTAACCTAAATATCTTTTCATCTTCAACACAGTGCAACAACAACAGCTGTTCTCCACAGACAGCTGGAACGGAACATCTAATGTGGCGTGAACATTTAAACAGGATCCAGTTTAAGGAGTTTATTTCCACAGTTCAGGAAGTTCACTGGTTCTTGGTTGTCTTTGTTCTCCTGGTTTGGAGGAAAGGGCTTGCATACAGATGGGTGGGGTTATATAACCTCTGGGTGTGGTCAATGGGGTGACAGGTGATTTGCAGGCAGGTATTTGCAGGTGTTAGACTTGTGATTTAACACGAGAGTTAGAATGAAGTCAAATACATTACTGTCCAAGTGAACGTCAATCCTAAGTGTTCGAAACTGTCTGTGAAGAACAACTGTTGTATTACTTGCCAGAAGAAAATGAGACTTACCAAAATAAAATACAAACGAATTGTGTCTTTATTTCTGTCACTTTTATTTGAAGACAATATCAAAAATCTAAAATACTTCAAATCAAATTAACATCAATGTATAATTGTTTCGAGATGGATGAAGCTGTATTTGTTTCTTTCCTCTCAGTCTAGATCATCACAGAATGAGCAGCTTAATTTCACTTTCTCAGATCGTCAGGCCTCTCACATCACATCTGATTTGTTCAGAGCAGGTGGGGGGAGGGGTTTGTGAGGGGCGACCCAGAATAAAATCTTCTGATCAGTGTATAAAGCCTAGTAACAGTAACAGTAACAGTTTGGATTCATAATAAGACAGGTTCATCTACACGGATCAGATTGAGCTGAGCAAACACAAAACAAAGGTGAGTTTGTACGTTTCTATAATGTGTTTGTGTAAATATGTAAAAATCAGTGTATGTACAGTTTTTATAACAAACATTGACTGTTTAAACTCAAACCTCAGTTTCTTACTTTGATATTTGTTCTTTAAATCTTGACTGCTCTGTGTTGAAGAGGTTTTATTGTGAACGCTTGCTGTGCAGAGACACGTTTAATTTATCTTGATGTCAGATTTGATCTTTTTTCATGAGTTGAACTCACAGCTGAAATCTTGATCTTGAATCTTCATTCCTGTTTAAATCATGGATACTGTGCACATGATTCATAAACATGCTAATTACAGTATTAAACAGTATTAAACAGAGGTGGAAGTTGTACTTTGTGAAGTGTGATCGTCTGAACTGCGTGTGGGAAAATATTTAGTACTTTCACTTTTGATGCGGTTGAACAACAGTTTGTCTGAGACACAGTGGTTTAGTTTTCACAAGGAGGGGTTGGTGTGACATGCATGCTGGTTGATAAAGACACATTTAAGAAGAAAAATGAAATCTGAAGTCAAATAAAATTCACCGTGAACAGAATGAATAGATGTTGGCGATTAGACCCCATCAGGAAGTGGAGCAACAATGGTGAAGATTATAGTTAGACTCGGAAGGAGTGCAGGAGGAGAGCTAAGCTAAGCTTCAGTTCCCTTCTCTATCATTCGCCATTTTGAAAATGTCATGTTTGCTCACTTTGAAATTATTTCAGCAAAATACACAGAAAATTCTCACTTGCATTTTATTTTAAGAGAAAATGTTTTACGATATTTACAACATTTCTCCTGCAGTTAAATCTTCAAGATTTTGACCAAAGTATTTTATGTTAGACTTACTTTCACAAAGAGAAGAACTAGGTTTTATGTTCTCCTGATCAAATCATTTTCTGAGTCAGTTTGAATAGTGTCGTGCATTTTCCAGTAATAGTTAATTATCACTTTTGTCTGAATGGCTCTTCTGACTGTAAAGATGAGCAGCTGATGAGATGGAGGTGGAGAACCATGATAACACAGCAGCAGGAGGAGGAGGAGGAGGAGAGTCTGTAATATCATCTGTCACAGATGACAAAGGTAATCTGAAACTGACAATACAAACAGTCATAAATTAAGAATTGTTGACAAACCACATATTGTTTTCATGCTGATCTTGTTCAATCTGAGGAAAGTTCAGCTCAAAACAAGGTAAAGATCAGTCACCATCATACAGCTGTATTTATTCTCACAGTATCCCTTTTTTAAAGTCATGTCATCATTTACCACAAGTGAGTCCTTCCCTAAATCTGAAATTATAAAACTTTTCATAACACACACAGTGTCCACACTGTCCAAACATCAGACCTTTGAAATGATGTTTTCTTCTAGAACTGAGCAGGTTTTCATTTCACGAGCTTCTTCATGTTTGGCAGTGGATGAATTAACTTGACAAAACTTTAACAAAGAAAGCTTTTTTATTACATTGATATCCCACCTGCAGACATGTACACCTTCACATTAATGTGATGACAGTTTAACACGCTGGTCTCACGTCTGAATAACCACCTTGGTCACTTTAATGTGAAAGTCACAACAGGAATCTTACTGGGTCAGACCTGCTAACATTTCAGTGGCTGCAGAATGATGCACTTTTCTTAGTTTTGGTTTCCTGATGAAAACATTTTAATCTCAGTGGCTCTAACCTGGAGAACTAATCCTGACATGAAATCAATTATTTTATTTATTAGTCTGATTCATTGACTGAACCTGGTGGAGCTGAACATCCAGAGCAGAACGATACCACCAAAGACGTGGGCCACAAATCCCACAAAGAAGAAAAGACGGACTCCTCAGTGTTTCATCAAAGTCAAACAGGTGAGATTTTAATATTTCTGATCATATAGGGCCCTGTAATGCCCCGTTCAGATCTGGTATTAACATCTGTCTCGGATTATCTGCTTGTTGTTACATTACCCTGCAGTAAATCATCTGGAGGAGAGAGCAGCTACAACACAGGTAAAGGTGAGATCTTTTCATCCTCTGTAGTCACTGTCATACAGCAACATTTCTTTTTCAAGCTTCCTGTTTTTTTATGAGGTCAGGTTAAAATCTAGCACAAACACCTGTGACCTCAACTAAAGATTGGAGCTTTTGCCTTTTTACTTTAGACTTGAACAGTGTTTGACTCCACAAAGCTCCTGGTTTGACACTGGATGAGTGAAGCTGAAGACACTTTTACTGAACAGTTTACTTTCTTCTCCCTAAAATACAAACCTACTTTACAGCATTTAGTTTCTGCACATGGTTTCCTTTACTTTTATTTTAGGTTTTGTTGTACTCTGAATAAT